TATGTATGTGCGTATGTGTGTATGTATGTATGGAGATATGGATGCATGTATGTATGGATGTGTGGATGTATGTATGTATGTATGTATGTACGTACGTACGTACGTATGTATGTATGTATGTATGTATGTATGTATGTATGTATGTATGTATGTATGTATGTATGTGTAAGCATGTACGTAGTTCTGTACGCATGCATGCATGCATGTATCGCGAACGCCATACGGCTGGTTCCGCCGACCCTGAAGACGATGAATATGAACACGAAGGGGATAAGGAGCAGGAGGAGGAGGAGGCAGAGGAGGAGCAAGCGGAGTGGGAGCAAGGGGAGGAGAAGGAGGAGGAGGAGGAGGAGGAGGAGGACAGGAGGAGGGGGAGGAGGAGGAGGACAGGAGGAGGAGGAGGAGGAGGAGGAAGGAGGAGGAGGAGGAGGAGGAGGGGGCCGCTTGGGCGCCTCTTGGAATCCTCTCTTGGGCCTCTTGGGGGCCTCTTGGGAGTCTCCTGGGGCCTTGTGGGGGCCTCTTGGGGCCTCCTGGGAGCTTTTTGGAGCGGAAGGTTCGGATTTGTGGTTCGGGCTCCCCGTCTTCGGCACTTTTTGGGGCCCTCTCGGGCTGTGTTGGGCGCCTCTTGGGAGCCTCTTGAGCCGTCTTGAGGCTTTCTTGGGGGATCTTGGACCGTCTTCAACGCCGTGAAGCCGAAAACGCGTATATGCTAAAAGTGTACGTGTTCGTATGGAAAATCAATGATTGTGGCCTCTTGGGGCCTTCTTGGGGGTGCTCTTGGAGTCTTCCTGGGACGTCTTGGAAGCTTTTTGGACCGTCTTGGGGCCATCTTGGGCGTCTTGGTCTGATCTTTGGGCCACTCGGGGCCCTCTTGCGCCACTTTGGGGGCCGTCCTGAGCATCCTGGGCTCCTTCTGGGACTTTTCCAGTTTTCGGGGCCGCCCGAGGGGGAAATGAATCTGGGTGGCGACTCCCCCCGGGACACCCCCCCAGGACCCCCCCTGGGACCCCCCAGGGACCCCCCCCCTCCCCCGCGGGGAAGGGATCAAAGGGAAGGGGCGTCCCTTCGACTCCACTACGACGTTGTTCAATTTCGCTTTGGATGGCGCGCTTGAGGAGGAGGGCCCAGGAAAAGGGACGGGGGGCGACGGAGACGGCGAGGAGACGATTGTGACGACGACGGAGTCGACGAGGAGACGACGGAGACGACGATTCGAACGGAGAAGCCCCTCGCACACGCCGACAGTGTCGGTGGATTGTTGTTTGCGTGTTTGCTTGTGTGTATGATTGCATGAGTATACGTGTATGTGTGTATATATATATATATGCGTGTACACATATATTTGTATATATGTATATATATATGTATGTGTATCCCTCGTCCTCCTCTCCCTCCTCCTCAGCGACCTCGCTGATCGGCGAGCCCACTCTTGTTGGCATAGTAGATGATTGAATGCACAAGCTGTCTTCGCGGCAATGCGCAAGATGCGATAACAAGACTCGAACCGCGATGCGCGATACAAAGATCCTCATGTGGTGGGTAGCATGGCCCATGGTGATTGGAGGCTGGAGGCATTGGACATCCCCTCTTGAGTTACCAGGCGCCCGTGACTGCGAGGCAGAGGGCTCTGGGATCTTCGCTTGTGTCTTCGGACCTTTGTTCCCCCGGCCCTCCTTTTCTGAGTTAAGGTTTTCGCTTTGAATCGGGGACGCCCCCGCGTCACCACTCTCGCCTCCTCCCCGCCCTCTCCGTCCCTTTGTTCTCCGCGTGTCCACTTCGGCACACCCCTCACGCGCTCCGTGGCCCCATAAAGGGGGCTCGCATGGCGCGCCCGCCCGCCCCCACCTCAGCTCACCCCACACGTGTTTCGTGGCCCCACCAGAAGCTCCACCCAGGGCCCCCGAGGCACAGCTCGCACGGCGTGCCTGCGCCGAGTCAGCGCGCATCCCACGCCTTTCTGCCGAACCATCCTGTGGTGCTGGGTCCTCGTTTTGATGAGACGGTGCTCGCGTTATCCTCCTTCCTCCTCCTCCTCCCCCTCCTCCCTCCCCTTCCTCCTTCCACCCTGCGTTTCGCACACCCAGTGCAGCGCTCCGTGGCCCCATAGGGTGCTCCACCGAAGGCACCAGTGCCACTGCCCGCATGCGCCCCCCACACTCTTCGGCACGCCCTTCACACGTTTCGTGGCCCCACAGGGATCCCACCGAAGGCCCCAGTGCCACCGCCCGCATGCGTCCCCCACGCCCATGTCGGCACACCCCTCACACGTTTCGTGGCCCCATAACCGCATGCCGATGATAATAAAGGGACCCCCCCCCTTCAGTGTTTAGAGTTGATTATCTTCGCCCTATACAAAATTCAAATTGGGCGGCGAGCGCTGAGGCCGAACTTCATTATCACCTCGAAACGCTATGTTGAGATAGCAACATCAAGCGATGTTGCTGTCCCCGCGCGCGCCTGAACTTTTTTATCCCTGGGGTTGATTATCCATGGAAAGGGGAGCACATGAGCTACCCTACATGAACACTTAAAAAAATCAATTTTCATAAAGCGTTTGTAAATTAAAATTGATAGATTTAGAACTTTCCATTTTTCCGTTCTTCTTCTCTTGTTATTATTCTTCTTTTCTTATTCTCTTCTTATTATTATTCTACTTTCCTCTTCTTCTTTTATATTTCTATCTGTCCTCACGCTCGCCTGAACTTGTTTTATCCTTGGGGTTGATTATCCATGGAAAATGAAGCACATGAGCTACCCTACACGAGCACTTAAAAAATCAATTTTCATAAAGCGCTTGTAAATTAAAATTGATAGATTTGGAACTTTGGATGTTTCCTTTCTTCGTCCTCTTCTTATTATCCTCTTCTTCTTCTTTCTTATTATTCTTCTACTGTATTCTTCTTCTTTTATATTTCTCTCTGTCCCACGCTCGCCTGAACTTTTTTATCTCTGGGGTTGATTATCCATGGAAATTGAGGCACACGAGCACTTACAAAAAACAATTTTCATAAAGCGCTTGTAAATAAAATCTAATATATTTGAAACTCGAGATGCTTTCTTCTCTTCGTCCTTCTCCTCCTCCTATCATTTCTTTTTTTAAAAAATTATTTTTTTATATATAGCTTCCTCCATTCCAGCGAGATAAGCCATTGTTGAGGATATTTCTATGACAACTAAACGCCAAGGATGTCTCAAAACGTGCTCGGCTTGGTCTCCTCTTGATCATCTCTTACTTCGAGATTATGCTGAGGTCTGCTGGGCTACTTTTATTATCTCCCCCTGAACCCCGAACTTTATTATCCCCTAGTGTTTATTCTCACGGGCATGAGGTTAGGGAGCTCCACCGAAGGCCCCAGTGCCACCGCCCGCATGCGCCCCCCACGCCAATTTTGACACACCCATCACGCGATCCGTGGCCCCACTGGGAGCTCCACCGAAGACCCCAGCCACCGCCCGCATGCGTCCCCCACCCAGTCCGGCACACCCCGCCCCAGTGCCACCGCCCGCATGTTTCCCCCACACATTTCGGCACACCCCTCACACGTTCCGTGGCCAAAAAGGCAGCTCCACCGAAGGCCCAAGTGCCACCGCCCGCATGCGTCCCCCACACCCTGGTCGGCACACCCCTCACACGTTTCGTGGCCCCATATGGAGCTCCACCGAAGGCACCAGTGCCACCGCCCGCATGCGTCACCCACACCCATTTCGGCACACCCCTCACACGCTTCGTGGCCCCAAAGGGAGCTCCACCGAAGGCCCGAGTGCCACCGCCCGCATGCGTCACCCACACACTCATGTCGGCACACCCCTCACACGTTTCGTGGCCCCACAGGGAGCTCCACCGAAGGCCCCACTGCTACCGCCCACATGCGTCCCCCACACCCATTTCGGCACACCCCTCACACGATCCGTGGCCCCACTGGGAGCTCCACCGAAGGCCGCAGTGCCACCGCCCGCATGCGTCCCCCACACTCATTTCGGCACACCCCTCACACGTTTCGTGGCCCCATATGGAGCTCCACCGAAGGCCCCAGTGCCACCGCCCGCATGCGTCACCCACACCCATTTCGGCACACCCTTCACACGCCCATTCTGGCACACCCCTCACGCGTTCCGTGGCCCCACAGGGAGTTCCACCGAAGGCGCCAGCGCCACCGCCCGCATGCGTCACCCACACCCATTTCGGCACACCTTTCACACGGTTCGACCCCATAGGGACCCCAGTGCCACCGCCATTTTGACGCACCCCATCACGCTTCTCATGACCCCATAGGGAGCTCCACCGAAGGCGCCAGTGGCTGCGTTCGCATGCGCCCACCGCACCCATTTTGGCACACCCCTCACACGTTTCACGGCCCCATAGGGAGCTCCACCGACGGCCCCAGTGGCTGCGTTCGCATGCGCCCACCGTACCTTCTTCGGCACACCTCTCACGCGTTTCGTGGTCCCACAAGGAACTCCACCGACGGCCCAAGTGGCTGCTTTCGCATGCGCCCACCAGACTTGTTTTGGCACAGCCCTCACACGTTTCGTGGCCCTAGAGGGAGCTCCTCCGAATGCAGTGCATACAACAACGGTGCTCACAATTGCATATAGTTGGGTCCTTCGCCAGGCTAAATTTTTCTGCTGTCGACAGGGAGCTTCGCCCAGGGCCCCAGGTGCACAGCTCATATGGCGCTCCCGCCCAACAGTTGAGCGCACCCCGCACATGTTCCGTGGCCCATGGGGAAGTCGACGCACGGCCCCAGTGCTGCAGCTCGCATGCACCGATGCCGTCGGAGTTGTACCCCTGAAGGCGGGTATTCTGAGGGCCGCTTGTCTCGAGTCGTGATGGGTGGCCATGGGGAGTACTCTGTGGTCTGAGCAGGGGGCGGGAGCGACAAGGGCGTACATATAGATTGAAGAGGAGGACATGTGAGAGAAGGAAGAGGAGGAAGGCGACAGGCTCGGAGTGTCGGCAATGTCTGCCAGATTCGGCGCAGCTGCGTCGGTCTCCCAAGGTTCCTGAAGATTGGGCTGGTGCAGACTGGATTGTCTGGATCGATGCCGACGCGCTTGTCGTAAACCATGACAAGGTGCTATCTTTACGTCGGACATGTCCCTCTACAGGAGGGATATTCAAGAATGTTAAAAGTAGTCAGTGGACGATTGTTCGTGCTCTTTGTTTGGCTATTGTTGGTCATTGTTGTATGCTTTTCATTTGTCTTCCACGATCCGCCTGTGGTGGAACATGCCCGATCTAATGCTATCTCCTCTCTCTCGATCTCGTTTGCAGAGCGTCTGCGAATCGGGGTTCACACTGCGCCTTCGTCATCGAGAAGGGGCGATCCAGAAAGGGCCCCCCCCCCTTCGGACACGGAGGGGGGGGGGGTCAGCTTCCGGAGCGCGGAAAGGGAGGGGGCGAGGGGGGCAGCTCCCCCGAGGGGCGGACAAAAAGGGAGGGGGGACTTCCGGCAGGGAAGGTGTAACGGGGGGGGGGGGGTAGCTGAGGGGGGGCCCCTCTTTGGGAGGGTGCCACGGGCGCGCTCTCTCCGACCTATCTTGCAGAGCTTCTGCAAGACGGGGCAGATTACAGCCAAAAGCCCTAATAAGGACGCGCGACTTTGCTCAGGGTACCCTTGCGTCCTTGCTCTTCCTTGCTGCGCTCCTGCGTCCTTGAGGTTTTCGTCGTCCGCCGCCCCAAAAATCCCAACTTCGGCTTCCAAGGGTCTTGCCTCCTTATTAGGGTGTTCGATTGTATTTTGCAGAGCTTCTGCAAGACGGGGTAGATTGCGCCTTCGCTGTCGCACGGGGCGATCCAGAAAGGGCCTCCCTCGCCTTCGCGAGGTCGACAGGGCGACATTCTTCTCCCGGCGGAAGGCTGGCGGAACGCTGACCGGGGTCTGGCTTGACCCAGGTCAGAAGATCCCCGAGCACACATTATGTTGGCTCTCCGCGCGGATTTCTTGGATCCGCGCTGGCCCCATCGGCGCCGCCCCTGGCGCGCTCCGCGCGCCAGGAAAGGAGGTCCAGCGCATATCCAAGAAGCGTGCCGAAATGGGAAGAAGCATGCGCACATTGCCACTGGCGCCTTCGGTGGAGCTCACTAGGGGGATACGAAGCGTGTGAGGGATGTGCCGAACAAATTCAGCATGTGGACTGTGCCACTGGGGCCTTCGGTGGAGCTCCCTATGGGGGCACGAAGCGTGTAAATGTTATGCCTAGGCATGCGAAGGGCAGAGGCAGGGATGGCCGAGGAGGAGCGAGGAGGAAGAGGAGGAGCGAGGAGAGAGGGGGAGGAGGACAAGCTAGGTGCACGAGCGTCACATCTGACGTCCTAACCCCCCCCCTCTCTCATTCCTTACCACTGCGTAGATATCCCCTGTGTTCGCACAGGCGGATGTCTAACTGGGCAATGATCCCGAGAGAGTACGCGATGAATGGTATAGCACGGCATAGCATGGCATACACGAGCACGGCCACAGCCGACGTCGCGTCGAGAACGCGGCTCATGTCGACAACAAAGTTATAGGGAAACCAGACATGACACTACACGGGAAATGTAAACGGACGGTTAGGAAAGCGGGAAGCGCAAAATTAGATCAGCGCTGCAGCGGAAACACGATTCCGAAGGACCAGAACCGTGGAAATGAGACCAGCGCTGTAGTGGGAACACGATTTGGAAGGACGGGAAGCGCGGAACCGAAACCAACGCTGCAGCAGGAGCACGATTTGGAAGAACCGAAGCAATGAAATGAGATCAGGGCTGCGGCGGGCACATGCATGACTCGGAAGGACTAACAGCTGGATACTTGAGCCAACGCCGTAGCGGGAGCGCCACTCTGAAAGGACTGGAAACGTTCGGATTGGAAAAGCACATTTTGGTTCTCAGTTCGGCGGCAGCGTGTGTGTAAAAAACAACACGCTGAGGAAGCCAAGACACCTCACCAGCGTTTTCGGGGGTGAGATGAGAGTAGTATTCATATTGTGCAGTGTCTTGGAGGATGACGAGGAGACGGCAGGAGGAGGGGAAGGATGATAAGGAGGAGGAAGAGGAGGAGGCGGAAGCGGGAGGAGACGCGGGGTGCAGCGGAGTCAAAACAAGGGCTCAATTCCACAGGACATCGTGAAACATGTTAGTCCGCTAGCGGAAGGCTGGCGAGAGCCGACCGAACATACATGCGCATCCCCAAGCGCTTGCAAACGTGTTGGGTTCAGGGTTCATTTTTCCTGGAACGAGCCACATGGCAGGCGTTGCTCTGACGCTTGCTCGTCATGGATCGGCCACTCGAGTTTGTCACGGTCGTCTCGCGTGCTGTCGGTGTGCAGCAACCTTGCCGGTTAATGTTCCCGATTGGCTTGCAGTTCTTAGTGATGCCAGATTGTCTTCGCGTCGGTGTCAGAGAAAGAAGATACAAAGCCCGATATTGGTTATGCTCTTAGATGGGTTGCCGTGTAGTGCAACCGTGGATCCAGACATCACAAGACACTGCGTGTTTGGAAATGTGGAGCACTGACAGCGGGGCAGGCAAATCGAAAGATGTGGTAAAGTGTTGAACTCTTTCCAAGAACACGTCTGGGCTTGGCAAATTGCCGCAAAAGGTTGCGCGTCTCACATTTCGAAGACGCATAGGGCGACCCTCCGCCGATGCCTGCCTTTTGGATGTGCCTATGTGACCAAGCTGGCGAACGTCCAGCCACTATTTTTGACAACGTATTTCCCAAGCCGTTCTGGAAACCAGTTGGGAAACATTTCGAGGGGGAGTAAGAGAAGGCCTCTTGGGGCCTTCGTGGGGCCTCAAGGGGGAGTCCTAGTGGTCGTAGGGGGCCTTGAGGGGCCTCTTGAAGGCCTCCTGGTGGCCTCTTGGGAGCCTCTTGGGGGATCTGGGAGCATCCTGCGTCATCGTGAGGCTTTCTCTGGGCTGGTTTGGGGACCTCTTGGGGCGCTGTAGGACAGTCTTGGAAGTTTCATGGGCCGTCTTGGAGTCCTTTTGGGGCCATCGTGGGGGCACCTTGGGCAGTAGCGTAAAAACCATTGAACAGTGAGAACGTATGAGTTTGGCCTCTTCGGTCTCTCCTGGAGGGCTTCTTGGGGCCTTGTTGGGCCGCGTCGCGGGCCTCTGAAGCCGTCTTGAGGCTATCGGGGACGTCTCGGAGCCATCTACAGTCACTAGAATTCGTCGCTTTTGAAATGTTAATGTTTGACTAGGTAGGTTCGTCTGCGGTGATTGAAACTGGAGGTTCGGACGCCCGCTATCGACATCAAATGCAGTGATGAAGAGCGTGCCGTGGGCTGCTGGAGAGCTCGCGCTCTGTAGAAAGGCAGTGACGGAACGCACGCCGTTGCATGCTGGAACGCTGCCCATCGTGACACCGTGGTGCTGGAGCGCAGGCCGGGGACTGCTGGAACGTTGGCCCCTGTAAGGGTGGAGTGCTGGAGCGCACGCCGGCGGCTTGACCGCTCGCGCTCTGCAAAAACGCAGCAACGGAACGCACGCCGTGGGCCGCTCGAACGATGTCCCTCGTAAAATTTGGGCGCCGGAGCGCACGCCCTGGGTTGCTGGAACGTTATCCCTCGGAAGAGGGTGGTGCTTGAGCGCACCCTTGTTGAGGGTGGTGCTTGAGCGCACCCTTGTTTGTAGCATGAGCTGTTTGAACGGTTCTCGCTCTTATTCAACATTGCACGCTGGGACGACCCCTCCCAGGGCTGTTGAAGTTTCGCTAGTAGGAATACGCAAATGACTATAAGGCCGTCTTGAGGCAATGTTGGGGCCATCTTGGCAGTCTATGAGGCGTCTTGAGACCGTATTGGAGGCCATCTTGGACACCCTGTAGCCATCCTGGATTGCAGAGAATATATGTCTCCCACCATTTCTGGATGGCTGTCGAATTGGGCAGGAGACCATTGTGTTTTTCTGGGCAGGGCCACGAAAGAGTTATACAGTCCGGCACGTCTGTCCTCGTGGTCCCTTGGGTCCATCGGTGGCCGTCTTGGACTCATCTTGAGCCGACGTGGGGTCACGTCGGGCCATCTTACACCATCTTCACGGCCATATGAGGCCAGAATGGCCGACTTGAATGCCATCTTGGCCGCCCTGTATCGTATCGTGGGCCGTCTTGGAAGCATTTTTGGACTGGCACGTTGGGGCCGTATTTGGGCCCTCTTGGGGCCTTTTGTGTTGTACTGAGACGGCTTGGGTGCCTTTGGGGCTGTCTTGGGCGCGCTAAAGCCCGAAGGCGAAGGCGCGAGACAGCGAAAGCATGTCGAAAACATTGTTGCGCAGATGCTCACACCTTGGGTGCATCCTGGAGGTCCTCGCGGGGCTCACTATCTTGAGCCGTCCTGGAGCCACCTGGGGACGTCTTGGGGCCATGTTGGCAGTGCTGGAGGGCGTGTTGAACTGGCTTGGAGGCCACATGCAGCCATCTTGGAGCCCAAGACGGCCTCAGGCGGGCCCCTGGGGGGGCCCAAGATCGCCCCAAGATGGCCCCAGGAAAAAGGCGCACGACGTTCTCGGGAGCCCCCCCCCCCCGAAGAGGCTTCAAGAGGACCCCTTAAGAGGGCTTCAGGGTGCAGAGGTACCGGTTTTCGCGCGGTCTCGCGTATTCTTGGTCGTGGATATTTTGTTGCCCCGCACGTCCTTGCTGCTAGTTTGCTCCTTACATGTCCCTCCATGTCTGCCACCTCCCTCTCCTTCCTCCTTCCCTCCTCCTCTCTCACCCATGCTCACACACCGTGTCCCTGCATCCTCTTGCCACTTGCACACAGGCGTTCTTAATTGCTCATCCTGACCGGTTCCTTCAAGCTGGAATCCTTTCGAGGTGCGAACCCGTTCCCCGAACGAGGAAGGGTGCTCTCTCTCTCTCTCTCTCTCCCCCGACGGGAGAGGAGGATGGGATGGAGGGGACGAAAGCTCCCCGTCGACGGGACCAGACAGACACCCCAGACACGCCGACATTAGTGCGATCTGTTATATATATATATAAAAATATGCATATGCATATATATATATATATATAGATATACATATACACACATACAACACAAGGAGAAACAACAGGTCCCGCCCACTCCGCTAGCATTTCTAGCAAATCC